ATATAAAATAAATATTATCAATTATTAACCAGATTAAATTGTATTTTATATATAATATTATAAAAGATAATAAAGCTAATTCAAATAGAGAATGATATCGAAATTTAATATTACATAATAATAGAAACAAATAATCCATTTCGACTTAAAGATAAAAAGAAAATATGATTTATAAGCCTTGTATTAAGGTATAAGGTTTTAAATAAGCCTTATAGTACCCCCCTGTATATATATAAAAACCTAATCTTGAACATACTTTATTTCAATTCCTTATTAAGTTTAAGTTCAATTAGCGTGTCGCCATTTCAATCGCTCCCGGTTATGTATGATGAAGCGTTTTAAGAAAATGTACATATATGCATTTGTGATATAGAATACTAATCAACTTTTGTTCAGACCCATAACTTCGTATTGTATAAAAGAGGGGAAGGGTATACGCAAAAGTCCCAACCAAAGAGAATCGCTCGATATTCATCTTTAATCAATCTACAACCCCAATCTTAGACATCTCTATCTATATATCCATAAAATGCTGCCAAGTTGTAAATGCCAATTGCCAACTTGTTCTAAACTTTCGAAGTGCGTATTTGACCGTCTTTCTTGCCCCCAATAATGTATACGGAATATTCAGATCATGAATTCGTTCTCTCATCCAATACCCCGTCAAAAATGCAGATTCACGCTTCCCATGCAACCAACTTTTCCCTATAATGATCCTGTTTATGTATACTACCACCACCTCGCACGTGTCAAATTCAGCGTCTTGGACCTGAGTTCACAAGTTGTCGTTGTTTGTTCAGCCAACTTTTTGGCGCATCTTGTCTACGCTGCAGCACAACATGATTACTTTGTAATCTGTTTGTAAGATCATACCAGGCAGTGGCCATCAGGGCGTTTTCGCGAGTAAGGTTCTTCACCAAAACATCATTTGCAGCCTTCACACAAGTTGAATCAGTTTCCTGCACACACATAGTTCACATAAATGATAATATGACTCTCAATATGGACACAATCATTGATTGGAATAAGAGGTATAATATTATTTATGATGGTGGTTGTGAGAATAGAAAGTCGATACGGTACCTTTTGCGCTTCTGGGTCTTCTGCCAGGACGAGTCTTCGTTGAAGTTCTTGTATGGTTGTTTCTTTCTTTTGAAGTTGCTGGAAATTATATTAGTCGATGCCTTTAGACCATTTTGGTGGAAGTTGAGAAGGTGATGGATTTGTTTGAGAGAAAGACGACGATGGAGGTTGTGCTACTGGCAATACACCAAATGCTGCCTGCTCCCTAGCAAGTTCTTCATCGTGCTGATCATGACCTGGAGCGCTTGATGCAGGTTCATTGAGCCTTTTATTACCGAACAATTTTCCGATTCGCTTGATTGCGGATTGTTTTTTAGGTGAAGTTGGTCTTGATGTAGAAATACTGTCCTCTTGACTTACCTCTCTCAATGCATCAAGAGCTCTTGCAGGCTCGGAGTCTTTGCCTGTTCCTTCGAAAGAACCTGATGGGTGTTGAAAGATAGTCTTCAGTTGTTCCGAGAGTTTATCTTTGGATTTTAATGCTGCGAGAAGGTGAGACTGCTGGTCAACGAATTCTGTTCTCAAATCATTATGCTGTGCCTGGAGAAGCGCCAAATCCTTCTCATATGATGAGGCTACCAATTCATTTGCCTCCTTGAGCTGTTCTAATGCTGTGATTTCATCGGAATCCATAGCACTCACTATCCTTAGGTTAGCTGACATTACACGCATACTGGAAGCTTGATCACTCACAATCTGCCCGTGCTCTCAACAAATCTCGCTCGTTGCTTGTAAGTTTGGCGGTAAGTTCGTTTATTGCGTGATTCAATCTCTCGATCTCCTTTGTGGCGTCGCGGTATAGTGATTGTCCAGAGGACTTCGCTCGTTCTCTGTGAAAATCATCGAGTGTCAGTTGAAAGGGTCCAATGTTCATCATTTTGTCGACTGCTGTAACTAACGCTTCGTCTGTTGGGAGGAAAGATCTGTCGCCCATGATAGTTGAGATTTGATCCTGAGAGATGGCGTGAGCCTCTTTCAACTCTTGGGTCTTCTCGCGAAGTCTCCGGATTTCCATTTCCGCTTTCTGCAGCTCGGCTCGAAGTTCAGCATTAGCTTTACCACCTTCATTACTTTTAAGAACCTGCAACTCCGCTTTCAGTCTAGATATCTCAAGCGATGGGTTCGGTTCGTTTGGACTATCACTTCGATTAAGCTCATCTTCAAGACTGAATCCACCGCCTGACGGCTCTTCTGGCGAATGTGAGTCTACGCGTTCTTGAAGCTCGTTGATATACTTCTCATCATGTCGTTGTCTTTCAAGATGAAGTTCTATCTCCTCCATTCGCGACCTAAGTTCTTCTTCTAAAGCCATACCCTTATTTTTAAGGTCGGTTATGGTATTCTCCTGTCCTTCGAGCACCTTCATGTATTCTCTGCGAGTTGTTTTGAGCAATTCATTTTCCATATGAACTTTGTCATAATCCTTTTGGTTTTCTTGTAGCACATCTAACTGCTCACGCAGTCTTGCGTTTTCCTTTTCAATAGCGTTCTGCTGGGCAAGTTTCTTTTCATAATGATCGACCTTGTTTGCTCTCTTCAACAAAGCAGAATTCTCGACTTCGAGTTCTTTCAATCTGTCTTGAGTCTCCAAATCTCGGGTGTTTTTAATCGAGACTAACTCTTTGTTCTTCAGTTCTCTATTTACCCGAGCGTCTTCAAGTTGCTGTTCCTGGCTGGCAATTAACTGTTCCGAATCTTCAAGTCTCTTTTCGAGTCTTGAAATATACTCGCTTTTGCCTCCGTGATTGACCGTTTCTTGTAGCTGTTTGATTAGTCGATCTTGTTCTTTAGTCTCGTCTAGTAGATGATCTCGGCTTTCTGATAGATTCTCCAAACGTGTGATCAGGTCAGCATTACGTTTCTTCAATGCTGCATGTTCCATGGATATGGCAGAATACTTTTCTTCAAGATCCAGGGCGTCATATGGCTTGGCGATACGATGAACCTCTAAGTCCGGTAAAGCGATTGAGAGATCCTGCTCTATCTACGTAGCATCATGTTTAGCGGCGCCCAATAAACCATACGAACAAATTAACTCACTGTGGCTACATGGTTCGCAATCACTGATTGCATATCATGGCTTAGCTTCGTTCGGACACGATCGATATATCTCAACTGATTAGGACCTTTCAAGGCGACCAACAGGAATATGGTTATAAGCTGGAATACCCTGTTAGTTATGGCGATGTTGTCTCTTGTTCTCACGTTTCCTACTACCTTCGTCGATTCGGTGGGATCCGAGTATTGTGCCAAAGCATTGAAATCGATTGGATATTCGACAACCGCTGCCTTCACCCAATTATCACAGTGCTCATGAGCGTATTTCAGGAGATTTTTGTAAACGGCCTCCAAGGTCTGTTTAGCGGAAATCCATTTTGTAGAACTCGTAGTTTTCGAAATATCCTTGATGGCATATGCGGGGTCGAAGTCCTCTAGATCAAACAAAATTAGCATCCGTATCGAGGACTTGTATAAGATGGCCGATAATCTAGAACGTACCCAGCATATCAGAAAATATAAGGCCATCGGTCAAGTCCTCTATTGACTTGACCTTGTTCAAGACGGCAGGAAAGGTCTTGATCTAATCACGAGTAGATGTTAGTAGTGAAGGAGGAGCGCGTGAAGAATAGTGTTGAATCACATACCCATGCCAATAGAACTGCCCTTGTGGTGTCATCGGGGGGCTCCAAACTGGAGGGCATTTTTCCTGCGTTGACAGAAACCCGTTATGTTGTGGATTTCGGCGGTGTAAGGAGATGCGAAGAAGTTGAGTGAGTGAGGTTTGAAGTCTTATCGTGCGTGCAGGTGCAGATGCAGGTGCACGTAAATTTCTAGATTACACGAAATTGTATTTTTAGTGATGGACCCTGGGAGAATGAAGACTGGAGACTGGAGACTGGAGACTGGGAGCTCTGGGATTTTGGATGGAAAGATTTTGCTTTGTTATAGCCCTATGTAGTGTTAAGGTTACCAGCAATTGAGAAAGGAAAAGCTTTCGACTGGATTCTCGCAATGATTTATGCTATTTATTTCCCATGTTTCATTGTCTCCGAGTACAGTTTTATTCAATTGCACTTTCTTCTTGTATGGTTAAAGCTAAAAGTCCAGGCTCGAGTCCCCCCTGTTGAACATCTCTTTGACTGTGGGGTCAATCAAACAGTACAATCGATGATTTTGCGGGGGAATACATACAAAGGAAAAGGAAATCTTCAAAGGATGTTGAGTATCTGAGTAGAGAAGAGCATTGGTAGATGTCCGTTTGCAGCTACATATCAGAGGACGAAAAGTTTGGACATATAAATACTTCCGCATGTGTTCTAGTCCATGAAAGTATTGGTAGAAGTGTAAGTGGGCATGGAAATCTGCACATTTGACCATGGCCGAAGACCTTTGCAATTGATAAGTAGGCAGATGGAGGGAATTTGAAAAGGTCAACTTATGATAGAAAGTCTACATGAATTTTCACTACAAACAGGGAATTATATGTGATACAGCCAGACACTCATACTGCTGCTCTGAGTTGTTTAATTAGACAGCAACTGATTCATCCATTCACGTTCAGCTTATCCGAAAACGAACCCCCAAATACGCATGTTGTAAAACGGTATGTAAGTGAGAGATTACTAGATTTCTTCTGTAGTGACACTCGAGTTGGCTGCCCTGATCCTTAAGTATGTTGATGCTGTCCGGCCGATTACCATTTTCCCAAATCATTCTATTAAAGATGTCCCAAGACCATTTCGACTCCATTTCCGTAATGTCTTTCATATACACTGATCCTATTGACGAGGAACCATCAAAATCCTCGATAATACCCAGCACCCCCTTATGAACGTCATGTATACATCATCGATGGGTGGAATTTCCTAAATGCGCATATTTCCAATTTCATATCATCTCGTCGTCAAATCCCATTCTTAATTATTGGCGTTTACGACCTGATCCTCTTCGATAACAGCATGATAATCGTTTCCCCATGCCTGAACAGTGACAAGGACTTGAGCTGGAGCTTTGGCAGCAAAGCCTCTGTTGAACACATTAGATACAATCATAGACAATGGGCAAGAAGCATGCTTACTTGATAAGGTTGTATTCATGTGTAATAGTACCTCCAGAATTTTTGATCGCATCCATCGCTTGCTGTACTACATTGCTTGGAGTGTCATCCGGATACGAAACGATCACTGATTTCTGAGGAGCTGTACTCAAACCAGGAATTGAAAATAGGGAAACGGCGAGTAGAGCGAGCTTCGTGAATGTTGTGACGAACATCATGCTGATGAAATCTTGGAATCTTTCTGTATGAATATTGCGACGTTTCGACTGTTGATTAAGCAGTCGTTGATTAAAGATTACAATCAGAAGACACAGAACGTGGATATGGGATGAGGACATACGGGGAATGCATGTATGACGATATCGATTGGGTGTAGCGCTAGCGGACCGATACCTAGCGTGATTAAGTAATTGATTGTCTCTTAGTGCCTCAGCCATTCACTAGTTCAATTTGCCTATAAACTTTCAGGTGAGCACAAGACAATTAAATCAACACCGTCGCGTTTCTGCAAACAAGCGTCTTTGATGCTCAACTTCAAAGCATCTTGAATCCGCTAATACACATCAAAAACACAACCAATTCGAACTTCCACATTATCTGCAAGGGCGACGTCGACGGAACTGATTATAATTGCGTGAGATCTGACTTGGGGATTTGGACAGGAGGATAAAGGCGTGGGGCATCAAGCTATCTATAAGGACTGGGCCTCATAGGAAGAGAAAATTGAATACAGAGAGTTTGAGGGTTACAAAGGGTTTCCAGAGAAATTGGCAATCATCAAATACACACTTCTAGTTCTTCTCGAGTTGAATACTTTTGCATGGTACTAGTTAGCTGTTGTTCAAGAGCTCCTTCTTGTTTAATCGAGTCGTGGAGCTTGGTGGTTTTTCACGACAAAGACCTTTTTTTTTCTGTGGCTGTCTTTCATCATCAAGATCATCATTACAAGTCTACGCACCTTTGCAACCTTGCAACCTACTGCGGCTTCCCTTATAGCCCATCATGTCATTTGGAGTCCCTTCTGATGAGGTAGCGGAGGACTACAAAAGAGCCCTTGAAGATTTGACTATGAATTCGAGATATGAGATCAGCAATCTAACCGTTATAGCAAAAGAAAACACCGAACATGCTTTGGCCATTTCAGAGGCATTGAAGAACCATATAAAACAGGTAGGATAAATATTCTCATTTCGTAATACTAGTAGAGTCTAGTAACTATTATAGTCGTGCTTTGCTTTGTGCCTACATTTTGCTTCCATTACTTACGAAATAATGACAGACTTCTCCGCAAAAGAAATTGCCTGCTTTCTACGTCCTCGATTCTGTAGTCAAGAATGTTGGAACACCTTATACCCTCTTCTTCGGTCGACAACTGTATTCAACTTTCATGGAGGCGTATGCTTTGGTTTCTCATGATGTGCGAAGGAAAATGGATGAGATGTTGAAGACTTGGAAAGAGCCTGTGCCTGGCTCTATAGATACACGTCCTGTATTTCCTCCAGAAGTAACGCGCCCCATCGAAAATGCTCTCATAAAAGCTAGAACCTCAGCTCTCCAACAAGAGCAATTGAGAAGTCAACAGCAGTTAATGAATCGAGGTCGATCTGCCGTAGCTCAGGCTCCCTATCGCAATACGCCAACTCCCCCAAACCAATCTCGACAATCTCTTTATCCACCTCCCGGACATTCTGGATACCCTCAACAATACCCTCCTCCAGCAAATGGGCAACCGTACAACAATCAAGCCAATGGTCATCTGCAGCTTGGACTCCCTCAGGTATGTGAAGCATTCTAACATTCCTGTTTGATACTAATATTCTCAAGCGACCACCCCCAACTCAATATTCTCAACAGCCAGGCAGCTCTGCATCCTGGCAGCAGTCACAGCCTCAGGTTTATCAGCCACCAGAGGCAAGCGTAGATATGTTGAACAGGGATATCTCCAATCTCATTGTTTCTTCAAAGGCTGAATTTGCCCAGAGTCCATATGATAGTAGCATACAAACAAGACTAAAAGCCTTGCTTGATTTACAGACCATTCTACAAACTCAAAGGCTTCCACCTGATCAAATAGCAATGATAAAAGAACAAGTTGCACAACTATCTGGGCCTCCCCAGCCAGCCCTTAAAATTCCATCCCCTAGGCCAGCACCTGTAGCTACGCCAACACCCCAACCTCAGCCGCAGCCAACCTTGAGCTCTTTGCTAGGCCCTGGTGGACTGGCTGCTCTGTTAGCGCGACAATCTGCAACACCACAAATCCCCACGCCCCCTCCCCCTCAAGCTGCTATCGCAATCCCGTCGCCTCAACCACAACTTGCACTACCTCTACAGCTACCCTTTCAACCAGCTTCCTCGGCCCCTGTCTTGGCATCTGTTCCAAAACCAGCAGCTGATCCCAACTCATTACTGGAGAGACTTCGAGCTGCTGGTATGCTACCTGGAATACCAGCAGTGTCAAGCACACCCACTCAACCACCAAGTGCTTTAGGTGGCGCTAATCCTCCCGGCTTCCCCCCATCTCTACCCTTCATAAGTGCGCCTCCTGTGTCAAGAACGCCACTTCTAGAAATTCCCAATGATGTCGTTTTAAAGCCAGCGTCATTAAAAATGTAAGGATATTCGCGCGATTCAGACTTTACTCTCCTGCTAACAATCACAGGTTTCGCCCGCATCTTATCTCCAATATCTACGAAAAGCTTGGCGCGCCATGTACACAATGTGGACGACGTTTTCAATCAGACACAGAAGGTCGGAAAAAGAAAGCTGCCCATATGGATTGGCACTTCCGTGTTCATCAAAGAATGGCCGAGGCTGAGAAGAGGGGCCAGCATCGAAGTTGGTATGTTGATGAATTGGTAAGTAACCATGTCACTATTCCACTCCCAGAATCTAATACCTCAAAGGACTGGATAAAATGGCGCGAACCAGAAGATGATCAGGTGAATGATGCATCGGACACTACTCAAGGTGCTGCTGGCGCATCTTCGGCTACGAATGCTAAGCCAAAGCTCCAATATCTAGCGGTACCAGACGATCCTGCTCTTGCTGGAAGTGTTTGTCCTATATGCCAAGAGAAGTTTGAGATGAAATGGCTAGATGATGCGCAAGAGTTTGTGTGGATGGATGCTAAGAAAGTGGGCGATCGTATTTATCATGCTAGTTGTTATGCCGAAGCCACGCAAGACAGAGGCACGCCTGAGCCAACGGTTCTGGGCAAGCGGAAAGCGGAGGTTGGTTTCACGTCTTATCCTTTAAATCACGATTAATAATACTAACTCGCGGTAGGATCAGGAACCCCACTTACGGACGAAGATCAAGACGGAGCCTTAGTCAATGTACTTTTTATTATTCAACCAGCCACAGGCGTAAAATGGGAATTGCAGTGGATATCTTGCATTACAAAAGAGTTATTAGATTGATGCATTTGCATAAAGAGAGTGTTAGGCGGAAGATTGGCTTACGAATAGGAATAGCACGCGAGCAATGTGCTTCAGATACCAGACAATTGCTTTTCGCAGACGAAATCAGTATGAATATGAATTCTAGACGATATCACCAAATTATCATGTTCAGATGCACTTATGTGATACTGTGTATGTTGCTTTTGATTGCCCAGCAGATCGTGGTACAAAGATGACAGTGTTTAACAATATATTAACATACACTTCGATTTTATCTCCAACTTCTTTTTACCCTTCTTCTCTTCTCTTTTCCCTCCCCTATTCCCTAACTTGCCCACAAAATCCACCATAGCTGTAGAACTGGAACTTTCTAACTGCGTATCTTGCTTACACGTCGAACTTACGCGTTTTGTGACGATACCTGCATTCAATTCTAGATTTTAGAAGGTAAGATCTTGTTATCCTCTACATAAGTCGTGAGAACTCGCTATAATCATTGGAGCGAAGGACTGATGAGGGTTGGTGAAGAGCCAATCAAGGGATGGGGAGGTTTTCAAGCTGCGCCGTTGGGGCATGTCTACACGCGTGTTTTGGACTGAGCCATCTGACAGAAATCTTGGTGGCAATAAACATTTTGATGAACTTGGAAGGGATAAACTACACCTCATCCAACAGAATTTGGTCATGTCCAGGCAAATCCATATTCATAACTTGACATTCACGACAGACGGACTCAAAGCAGAGATAATCTACCTAACAGGGAGCCAAAGTACTGTTACTTAAATTCGAGATTCCATACGAGTTTGACACAGTGGTCAAGGGATATGGTCAACATTACTACTGAATTCATTACATTAACATTCGCCTACAACAGCTACCTCAAGAGCCTCGAAATCAAAATATTCTCATTGCGAATTAGGCTTGAAATTGCTAATAAAGTTGTCATAAGTACTATGGTCCGAACTCCAACTTAACACCCCATATGATCCCAAACATTCATCGTTAAAATCCCTACAATCCACTCGTCTTCAACCAGTCGCCGAAACTTTGGAGACCCGGATGCTCCTTTCTTAGAGCTTTGATATCGGCTGCATACCCTCTTTTTTCGAACCAACTGAACATCAATCCAACATCCTTAATCGCCCAGAGAAGAGTAGATCCAACAAAATTGAATGTTCTCGGGATATCCTTTCCAAGTCTCGATTCAAATATTTCATTCGCTTCTCCGAATGTTAATTCATCGCCTGCTAGACTGATGGCGCGTCCAGTGTATTCCTTCGGGTTGAGCAATGCCTGAGCCGCAAAGTATCCAATATCGGCAGTCGCGACGAGCTGGAGTTTGGTAGTCGGAGCTAAAGAAGCACACCACGCGGTTGGGAAAATCTTGCCTGCGAATCCAGGGGCGAAGTTCTCCATAAATGCGACAGGTCGCAGAATGGTCCATGACATTTGGGTCCCTGCACTTTTCTCCTTCAAATATTTCTCGATGTTGGCTTTGCTTATGAAATGAGGAATATCCGTTGGGTCATTATCGGAATCCTCGCCGTGACGATCCACAGATGTGAATACGAAATGTTCGACGCCGTGCTTGATGGATGCGTCGATAAGAGCTCTGTCTTGCTCTTCTTCGCTCGCGCCGGCATTACCAAACCCCATGTTGGGCATGGTAACGCAGAAGACGCTCTTGATGGGCTGAGGAGCCGCTTCGAAAATGGCAGGACAGTCATTTAGATCGCCCTCAAGAAGCTTGATCTTGTCGGATTTCTTGGCTAGTTTCTCTGCTGATGGTGATTCGACGTTGCGAGTCAGAGCAAATATGGTAATATCAGACGATCCAGTTGCAGAGAGAAGAGCATCAATTGCTGCTCCCCCTTGTTTACCGGTCGCTCCCGTGATGAGAAAAGTGTTTGTCATTATTTCGGTTTACTGGCTTATTGAACTGATTTAGATATTTCACCAAGAGTGTTGTTGATGTGTAAAGATTTGGTTGTTTATTTTCACGCATATTTCTTTGTTTTTCCCTAGTCTAGTTGCTTTGGTATGCTTTGGTATGCTTTGTGTCACAAATGTAGTATGATGCTCAATCAGAGCTCTGGACAGCCACTAGCTTATGGCCTAGTGCACCATTGATGTATCACACTTATCCCCTTTACAAAAACATCAGATTAACTTACTCAACCAAGTTGTCTCCTTATCGGACACCGTCAACGAGCTCTGATGTTCATCGGTATTCCAATTTGAAGTATATATATGAGCCGAGACATCATAAATGCACTGCGACATTCCTCCCCGATCCGAGATGCGGGACATCACGTGTGAGACAACTTGGTAGCCCAAAGAGTGATTGGGTAGCCACTCATAGCTGTCATTTCAGCTCAAATCCGATGGCTTGCAGAAAGCCTTTACGTCAACCTTGGCATTAATTAGATCAGAAGGCAGAAATATATCTATTACTATTTTAAATTTGATGACTTTGGGACTCGCAAATAGCCATCCTTTCTCCAATCCAAGATGAAAGATGTGCCCCTTTTAGTGAAGGCGCCGAGGTTCTTTGCGGTCTGCCGCCGAGAGGCTATCTGAATAACTGAAGAAAATGCCATGGAGCATTCAAGTCTGAGCGGTTGTCTGGTTCTTAAATCTCAAGCTAGACATTGAAGGCCTATAGGAGCTTGCAGTTCATCATGTCACTTACATCTGCATCCTTTGTCGTTTGCTGTTTCAACTGAAGTATTCGCGTTTTGATGTCATATTTATTGAAGTGGGAGAAGGCCGCCGCCCAGTATGAATCAACGGTGTTGAGTTCCTACTCCCTTCATTTTAAATCTTGTATGCCCAGGCAACATCTTATTAATGGAGGCTCAACAGATACGAGAATCCTTACCAAAGAGAAACAATTCGCTGTAATATCTCAGCCGTGTTTTCAAACTTATGATGCTTCGCCTCCACTTTTGAAGCTACCATGTCAACAACAATTTTGACAGCAGGCATGATAGACATAATCTTAGAGGCTTGATACAAGGAGTTGTATTTCATATAAGTAGGGAGGAGTAGTCTTACTGCAAGATTGTCCTTTGAAGTTGTTATTAGATATCTTATTCTATCGTTTTCTATCATCAAGCCTTTTTCAATACCACTTTCGCTTGAAATCACAAGAGTCTTTCTGTACAACCTTGAAATGTATCTCAACAATTTCATCGCCGCTTCCATTCTGGTAGCTTCTGCTTCCGCAACAGCCCCAGAGGCTATGCCTTACAAGTTAGCAGCCAAATCCCTCAACCCATTCGGTAACCAAGCGTATGGTCTCACCAAGCGACAATCGGGTTATCAACCTTCCCAAACCTTCTGCAGTGGCTACGGCACTTGTGCAGAGGCATGCGGAACGGGCTATGAGACTTGTTCCTCAACAGATGGAGATGTTCATTGTTTCGACCCTACTGTTAAGGAAACCTGCTGTCCAACTGGAACTGGCGGTATGTCTTCTCCTTAGCTTACATATATCCATCTTTCTTATAACCCTGTACAAAACTAACTTGAAAAAAGACTCCTGCTCCGAAGGCTACTACTGCACCCAGGCCACCGATCTCACCGTCTGGTGCTGTCCAGGTGGCATGGATCTTACCGCCTGCGCAGCAATCTATTCTCTAACCGGTGTTCTTCAATCCGTCACCCCTTCATCTACCGCATCTGCCGGTGCTTCAACAATTCCAACTACATCGGCCAGTATTACGACTAGCGATATCGTCAGTCTTCCAGCCTACACAACACCAACTACACCACCGGTAGCCTCGCTTAGCGCGACGAAGACAGGTGGGGGAAGCAATGCTACATTTACGGGAAGTAGCGCAGCGACGGCTACGCTGTCTGTTTTTACAGGAATGGCGGGGAAGATGGAGAAGTGGGTTGGAGGTAGTGTGTTAGTTGCGGCGGTGGGAATGGGCTTGTTTCTGTAAAGCTCAATCAGTGTATTATGCACTGTTTGTAGAAAGATGTTCAAATTGAGTGCGAAAATAAAGGCGGGTACTGTTCTCTCTACAAAGGGGTTGAATCTAGTTTGTTGGAAATTATATACGAAAATAACTCATATAATACCTTAAATATCAAAATGTTGTTTGAAGTCTAATAGTCTAATATATTTTAGTTTAGGTCATTTAATTCTCTAAAATATTGCTATTCTAGTCCTAACATCATAATAATATTTTACTTCTAAAAATTAGAAATATTTTTAGATTTTTTAAATGGGTTTTCCCCTTTGAGAAAAGAAAAATCTTTTGAATCTTTTGAATCTTTTGAGTTCCTCTCTATCATCTCTATCATCTCTATACTCCCTTGTAGTCCTTATATTTACCATACATCCCGCTGTAGTACAAATGAACACGAGAGCTATAATTCTTACAAAATACTTATAGCTAGTACAGCTATATTATTTCCATAGATATGAGTGACAATTCGAGCTACCCGACAGCGGAATGAAGTTACTGAAATCAAGGAAATGCCACAGGAACGTATGTTATGAGAATTGAATTATATATATTCACAAGTAAGAGTATAGTACATCACTCTACATAGTGAACTTAAACCGTCTATTTACAATAAGATCGCGTTGCCATTGCTGTTGCTATCATGTGACCGATATGGGCTACTAAACCTTCAGTAAGATCTAATCTCTTCCTAGCATGTCTCTCTCCCCATTATATCTTTATAAACCTGATCAAATAAAGCCCGGGAAGGAGTAAGAGCTGTCATACCATGAGTCAGTTAGTAAAGAGGCGTGCTGTAAGCATCGAAGTCGTAAATCCAGCTGTCCCACGAAGCTTAGTCGTAAACACAGTCGAAAGAAGTACCACTGTTTGACCACAATAGGCGCAGAGGCCACTTGCAAAGAGTAGGGGCAGTAGTACTAGTGTTGTTGAAAGTTGCGGTCGCGATACCGTTCTCGACCCACTCGATCATTGTCTGTAGGGTTGTCGCGGGCCATCCGCCATCTGGCTGTTCGGTGTTGACTCCGCAGTGAGCACCACAGGGAACAAGGAAGAGGCGGTAGAATTCATCCATGGCTTCTGTGCTAAAGTTGAAAGTCATGTTGGGGAACATAACGCTACGGACGGATTCGTAGTAGTGGATCGATGAAGCAGTAGGGATCGAAGGGTCCTGTTCGCCATGAACGTAAATAACCTTACCACCGGCGTTTGCAAAAGCGCTGACATCAGGCTCAGTAGTCTGCAATGAGTCGCCATACTTATGCATTCCATAGATCATCCACTCCTTTAAAGTATCGTAGGTAACGTTTTCCAGGGTACTCAAATTGTCAACCTCCTGGAGCTGAAGAAATTGTGCGACCCACTGACCGCCAAGGCCGGTGATAGAAACCTCCCATTCTCCAGTTTCCGAGCTGTACGTAGTATCTGCGTCGCCGAACTCGGCACCAGGTTGGTAGTAACTGTAGGCGTGTTTTCCATTAGAGTCATGAAGCCCATCCCAGAGTGTTTGGGCGAGCACAGCAGCCTCCGCCGTGACAGTTCCATTTTGCTCAGGGGTGGTACTCGTACTACCAATCTGATGTTTACCTGGACCAGAAGAACTGCTTGATAATGCAGCGCAGTAGTAGGACTCGCCGATGGCGCTGTTCACGTTAAATTGTAGCTTGCACAGGTCTGATCGCGAGACAAAACCATCGGTCTTCCCATCCAGAGGATCGCAGAAAGCTATGGTCAAGTTCAGAATCTTCTCCATTTCACAACTCGATGGATAACAACCCAGAGTCTGCTCGGTCACGCCAGCAGTCAAGTGGTTAACCTGCTGCTGACCGTAGCGAAGGGCTGGTGCACCAATTGTAGCACCGTCAAAAGATCAGCGAAGCACTGGAGCTGACTCCAACCCTCGCGGCCACCCTCAGAACAAGCTTGGTAGTAAGAATAAATTTGATCAGAAACATTGAAGAAGTTCTTGGTAAATTCCTTTCCCAAAGTTGCGAATTCCCAGTGAGCCTGATATCCCATCATATAGACGGACTGCCAATTAATGGTATCATTAGCAAAGAGGAAGACCTCATCCCAAGATGAATCGAAGGTACCGAAACCACCGTCTGTATAACCCGAAACGGCGCCAACTATAACACCAGCAGGGTTTGAGACTGCGCCCTACATAGTGATAAATCAATTGATGATTTTTCTTCATGAAATTCATCTTGAAAAACTTACAGCGTTGATAGAAAGACCACTACCACCGGTCGTGACATATCGATTCTGTAATTTATCTGGTTTAGGAACCCTGAACCAGATCATCTGCGATACCGTTGTGCGAATAGGCAATTGTGACGTTACAGTACGAAATGGCCTCGGTAATGTACCAATAGTTTGAAGCTGTAGAGTCGGCAATAATGGCTGTGGTGACAGAAGATACGTCCAAAGTAATGCCAGGCAAAAAGTCCACGGCAGGAATTGCCTGGCTCGCGTAAGCTGTGGTACAGACGTCGCTTAGCGAAAGCGCTTGGGCGGCACCTGCGATGCTGACAGCAGCAAGCACGACCGGTGAACGGAAGACATGACAGACTCGGAGAGTTGTCAAGATCAATTGCGAAGAAATAAGATAGATGGTAGAGGACTTAAGAGAATGTGGTTTGATAGAATAACTAAGAGAGGTATGTGGTGTAGAATGGTCCTATATATGTTTCCTCGATTATGCTAGGTATCAAACCTTAGTAAATTGAAGAGACTAGTCTCCATCTCTGTATAGCAACCTTTCTTCTCTTTTTGAGGTACGTAATCGCGAGAGAAACATTAATCTAAGTGGGTGTCTATCCGCTGTGTTGGTTACCTAGGCCGACAGAATAAGGATCCCTGTACGGAGGTTTCGGTGATTCTGGGAAAAAATTCTAGTCTCTTTCAAGGTAAAAATGCTTTAAAGTCTTCATGCAGGTACAGGCAGTGATTAAAGATCGCTGATCTAAATCAGACTACCGATATTGCCCCAACCATGTGCCGGTGAAGAACCTGTATTTCTCGGTCCCGAATGCCCTTTGATCTTCAATCTTGCTACCTCTGCTCCTGTTAATATTGACGTGCGATGATGAGAATAGATCTTTGGCGCGCAATCTCAACCTGCTGGACATGCGTCAGGACGCCTCCTTTAGCTTGGCGGTACGGTGAGCTCTCTATATCTATTCATATGACGTTCATGTCATCATACAAACGGCACACATGAGTGCGTGACTTTCTCATCTTTCGGAAACACACAACCCATTCTTTCCAATTCTTTCTTTCTCCGTCATAATCACAGTTCTCGGCCATGCCGTACCTTCTGCCTTCCCTGGTCCCCGTCGCGGCTCTGCTGTGCACAGCAAGCGCCGCGCTGTACGACCAAAAGATCACGATTAGCTCTGGCTCAGTGCAAGGCTACGCTGCTTTCAACAGCAGCCCTACTGGGGTCAATCCGGAGCACTGGAAAGACATTGCAGTCTGGAAAGGAATCCCTTTTGCTGCTAGTACAGGAGGAAACAATCGCTTCAGGGCCTCCCAACCTGTCACACCATGGAATACAACTTTTGCAGCCAAAGATTCTTGTCCTGTCTGCCCCCAGACATTCCGAGCCGTGCCTGATGGCTACGAAGACTCTGAGAACTGCTTGAGCCTAAACATATGGAGTGCCGCCAACTCGACGGATGCGAAGCTACCCGTGGTCATGTGGAGTTATCCAGCTATGTCAAGTGCTCGCAACGCTCTTTTCGATGGCGGAGGCATGGCTGGTAAAGGCGTCGTCTTTGTTAATTACAATTACCGGAACGGTATCTTTGGCTGGCTTGCACATCCCTGGCTCTCGGCCGAGATGAACGAAACACACCACACAAATAGTTCTGGTAATGGGGCAATTCTCGATCAGAATGCTGCTCTTAACTGGATTGTGGAGAATATTGCGGCCTTCGGAGGAGATCCTGAGCATATTACTGTGATGGACCAGTCAGCTGGTTCGGCCGCCACCTACCATATTGTGAAAAGCCCGTTGACGAAGGGAGTCATCGTTGGCGCTATAATCGAATCTGGCGTTCGCGATCCCAAGGATCCTCTGAGTTCCAGCCTTGCTGAGAACTACCGCAGTCTCGACGTGGCCTTGGAAAATGGTGTGAGCTATGTATCGGATTATAATGTCACCTCACTTGCGGAGCTCCGTGCGTTGTACTTTTCTACCTTCGCTCAGGCCGATGACTTCGGAGCGGTTCTGGATTACTACGCTGTGCCGGATACATACATGAACACCCTGATTAATGAAGCAGCCAAAGATGTGCCCATTTTGACTGGAAAAACTAGAGATGAAAGCGGTGCGACGTACGGTCCTAATATCACCCTCGCTACCTACTTAGCAGATATGGACACCGCCTTTGGCGACTGGGCAGACGAGTTCTTGACTATTTATAGTGCGAATGATAGTACCTCAGCTTCGGCGACATACAATCGGCAATGGTCAGATCGCTCCGCCGTGGGTACCTGGTTACGGTCGCAACTGTGGGCCACGGCTTTCGACAAGCCGGTGTACAACTACTTCTGGGATCATGCGCCGCCTGGACAAACCCAGGGTGCTTATCACGAATCTGAGATCAATTACGTGCTTAACAACCTGTACGACACAGATTTACCCTGGGTTGCAGAAGACTACGAGATCGCCAGTACCATGAACGCTTACTGGGTCAACTTCATCAAAACAGGAAATCCAAATGGGGGAAATCTCACATATTGGCCTGCCAGTAACGCCAATAGCAGTGCTGTCCAGCAAGTTGGTGATGGCTGGGGCCAGACCTCTTTAGCCATATCTAAGGAAGCAGTAGCTCTCTCTGAGAAATGGTTTGATGCTTTAGAGACTTTATATTAATGTCATAGGCCGTGTGGTCGCACCCATGAGCAGGTACAAAACAGGGATTGTGTAGAAACCCGCTCGACCCGCTCGGACCGACCCGCTGTATCACGTGACCTCAAAAGAGCAATGGTTCCGAAAGTTAAACAAGGTCACGGGCCGAGGGTCATAGTTCGGTGTGGCCAAGCCATGGCAATGGATTTTAAGGATCTTGGGGATCTGGACAAATTACGAAGGTGTATGCACGACGTATATAAGCTAGACAGTTTCATTGGTAGACAGAGCCTGAGATTCGTGCTCGGTTTTCAATAAGATTATTAATTCCCGTAACGTGGTTTATCATCGAGTGGCCTATATCATTGAGTAGCCCACTTTCATTTTAATTTACACCTGTCTCTTTCAACACATGTTTTATCAATAATCTATAATGAATTCGAATAATCAAGAAGCTTGTATACTCCTTATTATTGAAACTATTTATAAAGATAAAAAATTAAATATTTGAAAGATTGTTATACTTTATAATATTTTTTATATAACTTTTCAATATAGAATAAAAAGTTTATCTTTTTATATAAAAACTTGAACGAATTATTATAAGATTATAGAATTAGAAGAAAAAGTGATTGTTTAATATATACTTGATATAGATTTAAAAGGATTTCTATTTAAATTAAAGAATATAAAAGATATAGCGAATAATATTTTCGAATTGAAAAATACAAAATGTATTGGGAAGCTCTAGGTGTATTGATTTGTAAAGTGTTGAATTGAATTAAAGATGTGTTTTAATTGTGTTTATGATTTTCAAAGAGCTTTTTGTAAGAATTCTAAGCTTTTTGAAGAATAGTTTTAATTAGTTACGAATATACAAGTGAAATATAATATTTTGAATAGAGATTTCTATAATTTTAATGAAACAGACTTTATAATAAGGATTATATATATAATAATAATAATAATTAGTATTAAACAAAATGACAAAAGTAAGATAGTATAGTTAGGTAATTAAGAATGAGCTATAGCAATAATATATAGAAATAAAGAGAATGAAATTATTCCCCTATTTCTAATAGTTCAAGAACAAATTCATCTCTCTAATTGATATATTGAAACAAATTTTCCTATGAAATAAACTATTAAATCTATATCTAATAGATGAACAAATAATAAGATAGGTTTAAAATGATTGAAACACTTGTTACGGGAGCTGCCTCTAGGGTCACGTGGAAGTGTCTAGAGTTCTCTCGAGGTGGTTTAGACTAAACTTCAAGTAGGAATTCAATAAGGTTGGTAACTGGTTGCAATTCTCGTAACTATAGTAATGAAACTAATGATTGTTCTTGAGCACGAAGCTCTACATTGTAATGAAACCCATTCCCTTATATAGACCTTCGTACTTTGATCGAATCGTCAAGTCTACTCGACTACTCGAGTCGACAAGTCGAATCGACTTTCCTTCACGTGACACTTGTCCTCGTGACCTGGTAAGGCTACCGCTTATTTAACCTGTGCTTACTAGCTAATCTGTAACCGTTGTGCAACCTGTGCCTACTGTGGGGTAGGTGCAAATAAAAGATAGGTACCTATCTTTTAATCACTGCTTATTTATTCGGTTACCGCTATCTTTAGTTACCCTTTAATTCAACTGTCCCTACAGTGCTGTTTTCGTAGGTCCCAACACCAAGGCCTTAGGTTTATCTTATAATCCATGTTGCGGTGCGGGTACCTCCGTAACACTATCCCCTTCCTAGACTAGCGCTTGTCCCAAGCGTCTATATAGCGGGGTCTCCCCACCTAACTATACATTTTAAATGAGTGTTATTCTTTCTTCATTATGCCTCCTACACGAACAACCTCTATTCATGATCCCGCTTTTTTATCTAATCGTGTCGCCCGTTCTGGTAGCAAACGTGAACCTTGTGCTTTGTGCCTTCAAACTGGTCGTGATTGTTTCGTGGACGAGGATCTGTCGAAACGTTGTTCCGCGTGTATTCGTTTCAAGAAAGGTCGTTGTCATCCTGGGCCCGCAATGCCCTCTCAATATGATGCTCTGGAGCGACAGCAAGAGCAACTTCGCCTGGAGGAGGAGAAGGCTTTTGCTGAGTCGCAAGTTCTGTCTGCTAAATCTCAAGAATTGACGGCTCGCATTCTTCGTTTACGTCGTCAACAGGAATTCCTTCGCAAGCGTGAAAAAGAAATGATTCGCCGCGATCTTCGTACGCTGGAGGAACTTGACCTGGCTGAGGAGAATGAAAGGTTGGAGAAAGAGAAAGTCGAAAATGAAAAACTGGAAAAGGAAAAGGCAGGCGCGCCTGTTCCTAGTGGTTCTTCTTCCTTCGACTTCTTCGACCCTTCGTTGCCTCCGTTGTCTGACGCTGAGCTCGAGGCTTTGTTGGCAGATGTGGGTACTTCAGGTGGAATGCCTGTAGTTTCTCAG